TACTGCTGTGCCTGGATATTTTGAATTTTCTTTCTTTTTTTAAGGGGAATATGCAATCCAGGCTCAGTTCCTCATGCTTGCATGACAAGCACTTCACTGAGTGAGCCATCTTTCCAGCCCCTCTTGATTTATTTTCTATGAAGATTTGTGTTCAGCCTTAGAGGAGAAAGATTTTGCTACCATGTGGTTTGGGGACCCATGGTGTACTAAATATTTTAATCTGTGAAGTAACAGTTGATACATTCCAGTCTGACAGCCACCTTTGATTTCTCCAGGAAGGAATTAGCTGAGAGATGCCCCATACCTCCCATGAAAGATATGATCTTAGTTTCTGAAAGAAAATTTAAAAGGTAAATTACACTTTTTTCTTTTTTATTACTTATTCATTCATTTATTTTATATTCCAGCCACAGTTTTCTCTCCTTCAAATACTTCTCCCCACGCCCCTTCTGCTCACATCCCCCAATCCACTCCTGCACTGTTCAGGAAAGGGATCTCCTATGGATATCAATAAATTATGGCATATCAAGCTACAGTAGGACTAAGCACCTCCCATGTATTAAGGCTGGGTAAGGTGACCCAGTATGAAGAGTACGGTCCCAAAATCCGGTAAAAGTGTCAGAGACAGCCCCTGTTCCCACTGTTAAGAGTTCCACAAGATGACCAAGTTACATAACTTTAACATATATTCAGAGTGGCTATGCCAACCCCATGCAGGCTCCCTGGTTGTCAGTTCAGTCTTTACAAGCCCCTATGAGACAAGGTTAGTTTATTCTTTGGATTTTCTTGTGGTGTTCTTGTATCCTTTGGCTCCTATAATCCTTTTCCCCCTTCTTCTGTAGGATTCCCCGAGCCCTCCCTGAAAATTACCTGTGGATCTGCATCTGTTTCCCTCGTAAAAGGATGAAAACTATTTGATGAGAATTACGCTAGGTATCAATCTATGATTATAGCAGAAGATCATTGGGCATCGTTATTTTGTTTTTTCCTATCCAGTTGTATTTGATTCTATCCTAGGTCTATGTGTGATCCAGTCTTTGGGTCCTGATGCTTCAGGCAATATCAGGGGTAGGTTTAACCTCCTGGCATGGGTTTTAGACTAGACAAGCATTAGTTGGCCATTCCCTCAATCTATAGGTCACCCTTATCCCAGCACATCCAACAGGCAGGACAGACTGTAGGTCAAAGTTTATGTGGCTGGGTTGGTTTCCCACTCCCTCCTCTTGTAGTCTTGCCTGGTCACAGGAGATGGCCAGGTGATATATCTATGATCACTAGGAGTCTTAGTTAGGATCATCCTTCTAGACTCCTGGGAGATTCCCTTGCACCAAGCATTTACCTGACCTTGAAGTGCCCCCTATTTCCAGTAGTTTTTTTCAGTACTCTTCCCTCTACCCCTACAATTGGATCACTCAGGTTCCCATTCCCACCTGCCTGCAGTCAACTCATGAAATCTTTTTCTATTTTTCCTTCCCAGGTAGATCCAGGCATTCCCCCTCTTGAATAATCTTTGTTACCTAGCCTGTGGACTGTAGCATAGTAATACTTCATAATACAGCTTTTATCCACTTCTGAGTGAGAACATACCATGTTTGTCTTTGTAGGTCTGAATTATCTCACTCAGGAATATTTTTTGTAGTTCCATCCATTTGCCTTCAAATTTCATGATGTCATTGCTTTTAATAGCTGAGAATAGTTCGTTGTATACATGTACCACATTTTCTTTATCCATTCCTCAGTTGAGGGACATCTAGGTTTTTTCCTAGATGTGGTATATACCCAAGAGTGATATAGTTGGCTCTTGTGGTAGATTGATTCCCAGTTTCCTGAGAAACTACAATACTGATTTCCAAGTGCCTGTACCAGTTTTCCCTATCATGAGCAATGGAGGTGTGTTCCTCTTGCTCCAAATCCTTACCAGCAGAAGCTGTCATCATTTGTATTCTTTTTATCTCAAACATTATGCCAGGGACAAAATAGAATGTCAGAGCTGTTTTGATTTGCATTTCCCCAATGGCTAAAAATATTGAAATTCCACATTTTAAAAAAGTTTTTTAATTATTTTATGCACATGGGTGTTTTCCCTATATGTATGTCTAAGAGAATGTCTGATTATCTGGAATTGGAATTACAGACAGCAGTGAGGGGCACAGTGCTGGGAAGCAAACTGAAGACCTCTGGAACTTAACTCACTTAAGAACCTCAGCACTGAACTGTGGAGCCTTCTATCCAGCCCCAACTTTCACTTCTTTAGCCCTGTTGCTCTCTTTTCTAACCTGTATCCACCTGATACTTTGAATTTCTCTTTTCTTTGATATAAAGGCTTGCTTTGTATCCCAGGCTGGACTGAAACACTAACAACACTTCTGCCCCAGACTTCTAGGTGCTAGGACTATAAGCATGTGCCATCACACCCAGCACCCACTCAATTAAAGAAAAAACTTAGTAGTTTGATTATATTTGAAGTCAACTGCCCTTGCCAAACTTATTTCTGCATCATAATCACAAAGAAGCCATCTCTAAGGAGGAAGCAGGAAGTGTCTTGTGATTGCAAAACTCTATGGCACAGAAGAATCATTAGGTGCCATCCCCTCTCTCTCCAACATAATTGAAGGATTTTGTGGAGGTGAGAAGGTTCCAGCCATGTGGCAGGTAGTAGTTGGAGAGTGTGTGTGTGTGTGTGTGTGTGTGTGTGTGTGTGTGTGTGTGTGTGTGTCTGTGTCTGTGTCTGTGTCTGTGTCTGTGTCTGTGTCTGTGTCTGTGTCTGTGTCTGTGTCTGTGTCTGTGTCTGTGTCTGTGTCTGTGTCTGTGTCTGTGTCTGTGTCTGTGTCTGTGTCTGTGTCTGTGTCTGTGTCTGTGTCTGTGTCTGTGTCTGTGTCTGTGTCTGTGTCTGTGTCTGTGTCTGTGTCTGTGTCTGTGTCTGTGTCTGTGTCTGTGTGTGTTTAGACAGGCAGTTTGACGGTGGTGTGGAGAGACAGGATATAGACTCCATTTATAAGCACAGTTTGAGATGGCAAACCAATGGAGCTGTATTTGAGGCCATTGGAAATGTGTGTCTGAAATTCAAGATGGTGATAGGGCTGGAAACATTCACAAGTCTCAAAGTTTAATATACATTAATCTTGTTTACTTTAAGTTTTATTATGGGGAAATTATAAATATATATGATAGCAGAGAGTAATATAGTGACTACTTATCTACTTACTTTCACCCCTCATTAATATTGGGTAATTTTGGTCTGGTAAGATGGCTCAGTGGACTAAAAGTAGTTGCCAGGCAAGCCTGAACAGATGACTTAGACTGTCCAATCTCTGGAGGAAGGAGAAATCAACTTTAGAAAGTTGTCTCTGCCCTACACACATGTGTTGTGGTACCCACATTCATACTCAATCTTATTTCATATCTCCACCTACATTCCCAGAGTCCATACTGTGACTCATAAATATTTGTAAATTAAAGAGAAGAAGCATTTAAACTGGGTGTGGTGGCTGTAAGAACAAGGTAAACTGGAGAGGATCAAATTAACTCCATCCTCAGAAAAAAATCTCCTTAAGAAATTCCCTGTGGGGCACAAGTCTAATTCAGCTCTAGCCAAGGAAACATAAACAGTTCCAAGAAGCACTCAAACTTTGCCCACCGGACAAAGTGACCCCATCTGGGTGGTCAGGCAATGGCTAATTTTGGTAAATAACATCTTCTTGTTGCAACGGTCCTTGTGGGCAACTGTTAGTAACAATTTTGAAGTTCCCCTAGCCCCCACATCAGTGAATCCAAAGGTCATCTACTCTTACCCAATCTTGAACAGCCAAGGTACCTACCACCCTACTTGCGGCTTTTTCCTTTAAAAAAAACACTTACAATTGAGGCCAGGCACCCTTTTCCTGCAGCTGCTGTGCCAGTTTGCTGGACAGGGTCCCTGCCGAGGCTTGTAATATTAAACCTTATGCATTTGCATCAGTGAATCGGCTCCTTAGTGGTCTCTTTTGGAGTCTCACAAACTTGGCATAACAATGGTATATGTCTTTAATTCTAGCCTTCAGGAGATGGAGACCATAGGATCTGAAATTTGAAATCAGTCTTAGCTACATAGTGAATTTGAGGCTAGCCTGGGATACATAAAACAACAGCTTAAAAAAAAACAAAGACCCCAACTGAGGTTTAGAAATATACTATTTACTGAAGACCTTGATGGAAGAGTTTAATAAAAATTGGTTCCAAAGTAGCTGTAAAAGCTGGGTGTCATGATACAAGCTTTCATCCCAGGATTTGGGAGGCAGAGGCTGTCAGCTTTCTGAGTTTGAGGACAGCTTTGTGTAAGCATTAAGTTCCAGTACAGCTAGAGGTACATGGTGAGATACTGTCTCAGAAAAAAAGGGGGCTTGGGGTTTAGGGAAGGTGGGCTAGAGAGGTGGCACAGTGGTTAATAACCATTAATTGTTCTTGCAGACTGGTAAAGCCACTTTGCAGCTGTCTTAGCTCCAGCATTTGGTCCCCAGGCAAACCAACAGTGAGTCCAAAGCATCATGAACACAGGTTCTCTGCAACCTATGTTGAACTCTTGAGATACAACCTAACTGCAATAGGTCAACCCTGTCTGCAAAGAAGAACCAGTAACTTCCCTAAACACACAGCCCCCCCTTCCTCTCTCCTCCTAGATTGGTAAAAGTTTCCTAGTCTGTAAGAGAGGCATGCTTGCTTAATGTGAGCTCTTCTCAGTTTTCTCTGAAATAAACCTGCCTGCATTTGAGTCCAGTCTCCTGACTTCTTCTTCCACATTATTTCCTAACATGGTTCTCAATCCTGGGACAGTCACTCTGAGCAAAGACCCCTCTTGTAACCTAGGGAGCATGTGCAGCACCTGGGCAACCCAGAGCTAACCCTTGGATCCTGAAGGGTCCCTGAGTTAGTTGCCCCTGTCTCTGAACCTCCCCTACTTTTTCCCCTCCCCTTTCTCTGCCAGCCCTCTGGATTGAGGATTGCAGATTGCCTTAGACTGAAGACCTGTTCGTTCATACTGATGGGTCCTGGCAACTCTCAAAACACTTGGAATTGTTTTCCAACTGCTCCCTAGTTAATCCACCAGGCCTTCCTCTTTTCTCTCTCTCCCTTGCCCAAACCTCTGTCCCCTCCACTCTTTCTCTCCCCAGTTGGCCCCAGAAATAATTAAGGTCATTCTCCCCTTGCAGTCAGACATCCAGCCTGAGGCCATCCTCTGGTCTGTGAGATGATGAGTGTCTTCTGTCTGGACGAGTCTTTGGGACTCCCTCATCTTCTCTGTGCTCAACCCTTCTCTCCAGGAGAGGATCACCATCTCTGTTAGAGCTAGGGACCCCCATCTTCTAACAGACACATTTACTTCTCACCCCTCCTGGCTTCTTAAAAACTCAGTTCTTTGGGCTTGTCTTCAGCTAACTCAACCACCAAGTAGATTTTATTTCAATATATCCACGTGAAATATGAGGTGAGGTCCACAGAGACCGCAGCTCTTCCACACTGGAAGAAGAGGCTGTGTGGAAGAAGACAGGACTCTCTCTGCCTTGTGTTGGGACTGGGGAAGGAGACTTGATTTCATCCAGGGCTGGTCATAACAGGGTGGTGTTTGTTCTGACTCTGAAGGAAAGCTAGGATTCCAGAGGAGGAAGCTTTAGCTAGTGAGAGCAGGAGGAAGGTGTCTTATTAGAGATCCAGCCAGGGACGCAGACTGTCAAGGAGGGCGTGTCTTGAGTACAGCAGAGAGATGTGGTAGCATAGCTTCTTTCTCCCCATGCTGCATTGTGGTTTATAGCCACAAATTTCTTGTCCCCTAAGTTTCTCCTCGTTGATACATTGTGTTTCCTGTGGCAAGATTCTTTCTCTCATTATAGATAATCCTCTCATTTAACTGCTCAAAAAATTTTTATTGAAAATGTTTGAAAGAATTTGTTAAGTAGGATGCCAAGTAGAGTGGGATTCTGAGACACCGACTTTGTAAAGGAGGAAGTGATGAAGTTGTATCAGGATGACACACACTTTTAACTGAAGCACTCAGGAAGCAGATGCAAATAGATCCCCATGAATTTCAAGGCCAGCCTGGTTTGCATAGAAAGTTCCAGGAGATCCAGGATTACACAGAGAAACCCTGTCTCAAGAAAAAGGGGAAATTTAAAAAAAAAAAGTCCAGAGACTTTGGGGAGCCCCTTTTGAGGGCCTTACCCTGCCCAGGGAGTGGAGAGGGATGGCTAGGGGCAGGTGGGATGTTGGGGGGAAGGGGAGGGAGAGGGAGAAGGGATTGACATCTGAAGCAAGCTTGTTCCTAATTTGAACTAATAAAATTTTAAAAAAAAAAGTCCAGGTAGCTATACCAGAGGAGCAGCAGGTGGCAATTGAATATCAGGGGTCCAGCTCACCAGAATGGAAGACACTGATTATTGAATTTCTGATAGGCAAGGCCCCAAGGACTTTGGCTCTAGAATGTCCCTTGCTACTGCTGTGCCTTTACATGTTTGCTGCTGCCATTTTTCTCTATGAAAATGGTGTGAATTGGTTTGGGGGAATCCCCACTGCCTTTAATGTATTGTGATTACTCATGGAACTATCCTGTTCTATTGGGCAATTTTACCTGTGGGTTATTATAAAGATGATTTCTGCTTAAACTGTACTATTTGGTTGAAGTAATGATTTTGTACAATTGTAGTGATAGCTTAAATAGAGTTTTGATAATTAAGGGTTTTTAATAAATGTAGCAAAGGGATTATGATAAAGGTTATTTTATTGGGAAATTAATATAAGTATGGGAGGAAATAGTGGTACCCCCACCCCTGTTAAAGCAGAGCCTGCAGAGGATAGAAAATAGGAACAAGGAAGAGTCACACAGCTAGGACTCAAGTGTTTTACTTGAGGAGCCATACAGAATGGTTTACATTAATGATTAAGGGGGAAAAATCGAGTCCTAGGAGTCAGACTGGCTTGGGTTCTTTTATCTTGATGTTGGGAAATGTGTTCACCAGTTTCAACAAACAAAGCTTTAAATAATGACTTCGAGTAGCTCAAAAGCAAAGAATTGGATGGTCATTTAAGATAATTGGACTGGACTCTAAAACATAAAAAGCATGTAACATGAAAAATAAATGACCCAGAGACTGATATTGGGGTTCAAACTTAAGATGAATATCAGAAAAGCAAAGCAGCCAAGCCACCCGCTCTTAACTCTAGCTCATGCTGAAAGGGCTGATCTATGAACCATATCTTCACCAAGTCTCAAACTGCTGCCTCTCCTCACTGTGGTTGGAGAATGAATGCCTCTCTGAGACCTTGCTTCTGTCTTCTGTCTTATACACTTTCCTAATGCTGGGATTAAAGGTGTGAGCTATGAAACTCTTTTAGACTGATTCACTCTTGGGTGGCCTTGGACTCACAGAGATCCCTCTATTTCTTAATCCTGAGTCCTAGGATTAAAGGGGTGCGCCACCACCTCCTAGCTTCTGGCTGCTGGTATTAAAGGTGTATACCTGGCTTCTATGGTTTGTGGCTGACTTTGCTTTCTGAATCCTCAGGCAAGCTTTACTAAATCATAAATAATATCTCACCATAAAAGTGAAACAAGTAACCCGTCTTTCTGGAAATTATAAAAACTACTGCCTATGTGAAAGGTTATGGCTCAGTCTCCTGATCTGTGAGAAGTCTAAAAGAGAAATGTTTAACTGACCTCATGCTCTTAATGAGCATAGCTCTGCTTATTGCCCTCATGGGTCACCACATCCGCAATAATATGAGTTGTATGAAAACTCTAAGTGGGTTTCTAGCCCCTCACTTGGTAGTGTAACTGGTATGTACAGTAGTAGTAATCAACTTTTTCCAAACATTGCTGCTGGAGAGGATTAATGACTCAAACACATCACCCTTAGAAAGAAGTTAGACATGTATATTGTTAGTAAAGTTAGGTTAAGATGTTTTGGTAATGACTGTGAGGTAGAAAACCATGGGGAACAATTTAATTTTAGAAAGGCACACTTTCAATAGGTGAGTGAGAGAATCGCTTTGGTCATGGAACAAAAGAGTGGAAGCCTGGCTATTGTTGGATTTCATGCTAGGATGGATTGGTGATCAAAGGTGATGATTAATTTCTTGTACACATTTCTGCCCTCAGCTTCCCGATGTGATTTAATAAAAAACTGGCTGGGCGTTGGTGGCGCACACCTTTAATCCCAGCACTCGGGAAGCAGAGGCAGGGGGATCTCAGTGAGTTCGAGGCCAGCCCGGGCTCCAGATCGAGTACCAGGATAGGCTCCAAAGCTACACAGAGAAACCCTGTCTCAAAAAACCAAAAAAAAAAAAACTGAGGATTTAAAGTAGACATGAATGGTTGTTTTATATATAAAAGTTTGGATTTATGGTTCTTTTAAGATTTTTTATAAGGTTATCTTTTGAGTTAAGTAATAAAATACTTGATTCTTTCTTTGTAGTCACCAATCTATAAGAAGTTTCTTGGACATGAATGTATGTGGGTTCTTGGGGATAATTTTTTTACCTGTAATACATAAAATATTTAATTATGTAAGGCATATGGGAAACATGCTATTTTTACTTGTATTCATTGTAATCATGCACTTGGAAACAGAATGTAATCACATTATAATTTTTATAATGCTTGAAAGATTCTGCTTTGGTATATAAGCTGTAATGGAAAAAATAAAGAAGTGAGAAGGAAGTTACCAGTAAAGAGAAAGAAGGGAAACATCAGAGTAGAAGAACAGAATAGAAAAAGAATTGAGTAGAACAAGCAACAGAAAGGATAATAAAATAAAGAACTAAGTTTGACCCTCAGAAAAGAAATCTGTGTTTTTCTTGACAAGTCTGTGTCATGCTCCCAGTCTCTCTGACCTGCAGAAGGCTGGACTGACTGCAAGAAAGAAAGTCATTATGTCAGCACAAGCTCAGGGGGTAATGGTTGGCTACCAAACCTGATAGCTTGAGTACCATCCCTAGTACCTAGATAGTGGGAGAAGAGAACAGATTTCTCAAAGTTGTTCTCAGACCACATATTCCAACATGACATATGCATAACCACACACATATGTCTACACACAAAATAAATCATTAAAATTTAATAAAAATGTAGGGCTAAGAGATGATCCACTGGTTAAACATACTCACCACTTTGGTAGAAGACTTGGACTTGGCTGCCAGAACCCAGAGCCATCTGTAACTTCATTTCCAGGGGATCAAATGCTCTTTTCAGGCCTCTCTGGGTACCAGACATTTACATGGCTTACATACATGTAGTCAAACACATATATACATAGAATTGAAAGAATCTTTTTTTAAAGACAATATTGACAACAATGAAAAGAAAAATAGGTTTGGATCTAGGGAGACACTCCATCAGTGAAGGGCTTGCTGCAGAAGTGTGAGAACCTGAGTCAGATCCCACATCCACAGGTGTAAGGACGTGCTCCTGTGATCCCCGTGCTGAGGAGTAAGGACAAGGGGGTCCCTAGGGTTGCTTCCCATACAGTCTAATCACATCAACAAGTTGCAGGGCTAATGGGAAACTGTCTCAAAAATAAGGTGAGAGGGATTGAGAAAGAAACCTGATAGGTCTCTCTCATGTAGCCCAGGTGGTGCTAGAACAGTCTATGTACCTGTGGATGACCTTGAACTTTGGCTCCTCCTGTCTCTGCCTCAAAAGTGCTGGAATTATGGGCCTAGGCCACTATGCCTGCTATGGAAACATAACTTTACAGAGCAGAATTAAATGATAACATACACATCAACAGTTTATGTAAATTGCTGCACTGACCAGTCATGGTAGCACACACATACTAACACTTGAGGCAGAGGCAGGTGAAGCTCTTGAGTTCAGGCCAGCCAGGGCTGCATAGTGAATCCCTGCTCTAATCGAAACTGGCCTGGCCAAGCAGACAGGTTTTTTCAGACAGGCATGGGGACAGGTGGCTTTCCTCTCTCTGTAGTTGGTTGTTGAAACCAATCCATATGTCAAATGACATTTACATCCTGTTTCTTCATAACACAGAGGTATCACTTTCCAGAACAAACAAACAGAAGAGCAGAACAGCATGGATGTGAACGCACGCGCGCGCGCACACACACACACACACACACACACACACACACACACACACACTAAAGCAATCAACCAACCAACAATTAAATAAACAAATACAAATTAATGTTAGGGTCTCCAGGAATAGATTAGCAGTCACAACTGACTGCAATTCCAGCTCCTGCAGATCTGACGCCCTCTTCTGCCCTGCATGGGAACCTGCACTCACAGGCACATATCCTCACATACAATATTTAATGAATCATTTGAAACTTAAAAAGTTGATTTCAGGGCTTATTGGTTAAGAGCACCTGCCTGTTCTTGTTGAAGTCACAGATGAAATAAATATTTCACTCTCAGCACCCACATGAGGGATCAAGACTGTCTGAAACTCAGTTCTTGCTGGTCTGACACCTTCTCCTGGCCTCCATGGGCATGTGATATATACACATACGTGCAAGCAAAGTCCCATACATATACAATAAAATTTATATTAAATAATTAAATTTAAAAAGATAATGTCATTTTGGCCACACATAAAATCAAAGCCCTCAGAAGACCAAAGCAAGAAATTTAAGTGTTCAAGGCCCTTACATAGCAACATGTTGGATCACGAAGGAAGGAAGGAAAGAAGGACGGAATGAAGGAAGGAAAGAAGGAAGAATTCTGCTGTGTCATGAGTCCACCATACAGAATCCCACAAGACTCCCTCATTTCTGCAACCTAGACCTCTCTACCCTGGCATCTTCACGGCTGGTGCCTCACTCCTGCTTCTGAGATACTGTGGCTCCAGTAGAGAAAAAGGACACATTAACCTTTAGCAGGGATTTAGTTGGAGAGCTAGAGCATTGTGTTCACAGACAGCCATGGGGAGGATTGAAGGGAAAGAGCCTTGAAATTAGAAACACAGAGGCAGTGTCTGGCTCTTTCAGGTTTCCAGGAATTGAGGAATGTTCCATGTCAAGCACAGGATAAAAGTAAGGGCAGCAGATGCATACCTCTGTAGTTGCACACATGCCTCTATAAACTCAAGTCAAGCTGGAAGTTAGGAAATGAACTTACAATTTTACCATTTTTTGGGTTTGGAATGTTATTTTGGTTTTTACACCTGCAAGGCCATGGGACAGCTAGTGGTTTTTCTGGGAATGGCGTGACTTATACTTATTTTCAAAACTTGGGTGCTTTGGAGCAAGGTAACCCATAACAATTTTTAGAAACCAGACAGTCGTTGAAGATAATAGAAACTACTAATAATAACAATTTCCAGAGACTGGTCATCATGACAGACCATTTCATGTGTTCTTTGTCCCATGTGTGTGTAGCCAGAGTGATTTTCAACTACATGCTGGTGGGTATCAGTCTGGGTTGAGTTAGGGTCTTTCATTATCAGGAAGCTGCATGTGACAGTCAGGTCATCGGTCCTACAGAGCTGGGCAGCACACTCATGCTTGCATTCCTTCACACAGTAAATGGAGATTGATCAGGCACCTGCACGACCTTTATATGACAACACCTCAGTATGAAACAGACTGAATTCTCTGCCCTTCTGGAACTTATTTTCCAATGGGGAAACATAGCATAAGGAAATATGTGGAATGTGTCATACTGTGATGAGTGGAGACAGTGGAGGAGTGGAGACAGACAGAAAGCCAGGAAGAAGACAAAGCTGGAGGAGTGAGTATGAGCTTGTAGAGAGGAATGTTAGGAAAGGACTCTCCCAGAAAGAGACAGCTGAGAAGGTCTGAAGGGAATGAGGGAAGATGCCATATGGATGTGTGGTCAAAGGAATAGCAGAGGCAAAGGCCCTGGGCTGAGCATGTGATGTTCAGATCAGTGCAGCAGAAGACGGGAAGCACAGGAAGACAGGGGTGACACATCTGCTGGGGCTCTCAAGATAGGATTTCTTGCAAAGATTGACTTCAGCAGTAAATAGAATGATACCAAATTCAGAAGATAGACAAATAATAATTGATTCTCTGGCTTTTTGAAATGCTAATTCTCAATGCAAAAAGATAATTAGGCCTTTAAAAGCAAGGTCAGCACCTTTGGAGGAAAGGATCTGAGATACAATCAATTTTGAACCTAATGACCATGATGATGCATGTATAGGAGAGGTGATTTCCAGAAGTTTGAAGAAACATCTGCTGTCAAATGTTTTAATTGTGGCAAACAGGGTCAACTTAAAAGGGTCTATAAACAGGAAGTTCTTAGAAACATTGTTTTTTCTAAGCACAATCCAAACAGAACACCCTCCCCTTCTGGATTATGCAAAAGCTGTGGCAAAGGCAAACATTGAACTAGTGCATCAACAAGGGACATGCAAGGTAACGCTTTGCCATTGGGAAACTACTTGAGGGGCCTCTCGAAGACCTCCAAGTCAAATTCAGCTCAGTTGTCTCCTGTCATTATAGAGGAAACTCCTTCCCAGAGCAATTTAAAACCTAGTGCCTATTGTAAAAACCCATACTGCTCTGGATGATAGAACAGATTTAGAAAAGTAAAGCAAAAAATTCAGGAGAAACCATAAAGCAAATATTATAAAGATTAGATTTGAACAAGACAGACCTTTTGATTAGAAGAGGTGATAGTTCATCAAACAGCATGACTATTAAATCTAAACTAACTTATACAACTAACAAATGCTTCTCATTTGGTCAGATATAAGTTGCCAAAAGGGAAACTCCCCAAAGTTAGGGTTGGTGACAATTTTGTTTTGTCTTTCCAGGAAAATAAAAACAAACACCTTGAGCAATTTAAAGAACTTGGGAAAAATAAAAACCTAAAGTACAAGGGAGAACTATTGGGAAAAACTAGTAAGAAAAGGATTAATCTGAACTAATGCAATCTCTGAAGTCTCCAAAAAGAAGATGGAACCCCACATTGACAATTCCACCAGGACTATTATTATACCACTAAGCTGAAAACATCACCTAAAGACTGGCTTTGGACTACAAACTGCTCAGGACGATTTTGAGGTGGCTAGCTGAGATGATCCAGCCTCACAAACTACTCTAGCCAAGACTTGAGACAAGCCCTGCACTTTTCCATTATAAAGAGACTGGACAAAAATGATACAGCTACCTCTCCCAGGACTTAAACTTAACCCAAATTTTGATTTTCGGGATCCCTAAAGATGCTGTTGCCCCTAGACAGCTGGAAGTAAATTTAAGAACATGATGTCCAGCCCATATTCCCAAGAGGTGGGGTGGGTGATTTTTGGTCTTTCATTGGGTTATGGATATTTGTCATTGTTTAGGGTGATTGGTTACAATTTGATATTGGTAAAGGTCAGGAAAATTAAACAAAGAAGATTAGATTCAGGGTTCTTGTTTTGAAGAGGAAAAAGAGGGATACATAAATAATAGGATAAAGAGATAGATTATTGACTCTACTCTGAAAAGAAAAGAGACAGTATATAGATATAAGATAAAGGTTAGATTATTGAATCTACTTCCAAAAAGCAACTACTAGTCTTAAATATTTTACATGGAACTTTTGTATATTGTATTCAAATAATGTATATTGATACAAATTTGAGGTTAATTTTGTTAAAATATATGGTACATGCCTTTCTAATCTTGTTCAAGGTATTGTACCTATGCAACTCATTTAACAATGTAATGCAAATTTTTAACCCTTTAGGGTTAAAAATAATTGGTATTATTACCAATTATTTAGGATAATAAGGAAATGCAGATTAACAATTAGTCACGTATTATAGTTAAAACTGTAGTCATATTAGGTATGTTTTCAAGGTCAAAAGAGATATAGTTTAGCTAGGCAGGTCATTTTCCAACATTTCAGATATCTACAGAATATGGCATTTAAGATGTTGTTAATAACATGCACTTCTCTTTTTTATGACAATGAGACATGCCTGCTCCTGGCAGTACCAATCTACATCAAAGAAACTCTACATGGAGTTTACTTTCTTTGTGGCAAAAGTAAGCCTCTGGGCAAGAAAATGCCCTTATGATGTGGAATAATGTTCTTTTTTACTGTAAAGATTTGTCACTGGAATTCATTTAATAAAATGCTGATTGCCCAGTAGCCAGGCAAGAACTATAGGCAGGGCTACCAGACTAGGAGAATTCTGGGAAGAGGAAAGGCAGAGACAGAGTTGCCAGCCAGACACAGAGCAAACAAGATGAGAATGCCATACTGAGAAAAGGTACCAAGCCATAAGTATAGATAAGAATTATGGGTTAATTTAAGTTGAAACAGTTTGTTAGTAATAAGCCTGAGCAATAGGCCAAAGAGTTTATAGTTAATTTAAGTCTCTGTGTGTTTATTTGGGACTGGATGGTTGCAGGACTTGGTGGGACAGAACCTTCTGTCTACACCCTTGCCTCAACTGCTGACAGTGTGTTGTCCAAATTGGATAAGCAGGACACAAAAGAAAGGACTGATGAACTTTGCCAAGATAAGGTAGGACAGTTCTTCAGAATATCCTGCTTCTCAAAAAAGTCTGTCAGATATGCTAGGCCTGTAGGTGGAAGATTGAGGCTCAACATTGCAGAAGACTCTTGGGTGATTTTCCAAGAAGTCAGCTGTTTCCATCATTTCTCACATTTTTGGAAGTAGCTTGTGTAAAGTGAATCATTTTCTAAAGTAATGAAAAGAAAAAAATGCACATGTCTAGGGAGACAGTCAGTCAGTAAGTGCTCACTACAGAAGTGTGAGAACAGGGTCAGGTCCCATATTCACAGGTGTAGGAACAGGTACCTGTAACCCCTGTGCTGAGGAGTAAGGACAAGGACATCCCTGGGGCCACATGACCAAGTTCCAGGGTTAATGGGAAACTGTCTCAAAAATAAGGTGAGAGGGATTGAGAAAGAAACCCGATGGGTCTCTCTCGTGTAGCCAAGGTTGTCCTGGAACTCTCTGTGTAGCTCTGGATGACCTTGAACTCTTGCTTCTCCTGACTTAGCCTCAAAGTGTTGGGATTATAGGCCTGGGCAACCATACCTGCTACGGAAACATAACTTTACAAAGGAGAATAAAATGATAACAGCACATTAACATTTTCATATAAAATGCTTCTCCAGCCAGTAATGGCAGCATACAACTTTAATACACAAACTTGGCAGCAGAAGCTGGAAAACCTTTGTAATTCAGGCTGGCCAGGGCTACATCATAAGTCCCTGCTCAAAACAAAATTGGCTTGGCCAAGAAGAGACTGATTTTGTTGAAAGGATAGGGGCAGGTGCCATTGCCCTCCCTGAGGTTATTTGTTGCAGTCACCCCATACACCAAATAAAGTCTACATCCAGTGCCTTTATAACACATAAGCACCACCTTTGAGAACAAACCAACAGAGAAGGGAAATACAGCATGGGTGTGAACACACGCACGCGCACAGACACACAGTGACCATGCCTCCTAACAGCTGGCTACAGGTGTGCCCAACCATGCCTGTCAGGGCATGGTCAAGATGATGTCAGGGTGATGTGAAAGAAGTTTAAAGAATTAGGGAACGCACATGGTAGAGCCTCTTTTTCCCTTCTGCTTTAGCTTGCTCTGCTTTCCTGCGGGTTGGCTAGGAAACTCTGAAGTAAGGCATTTCCCCTAAATAAAATATCCTAACCATTACCCGATTACGTATTGGTAATTAACACCAATACACACACACACTCTAAATAAATAAATAAATAAATAAATAAATAAATGTTATACAAATTAATGTTAGGGTCTCCAGACATGGTATAGCAGTTAAGGACACACACTGTTCTTCTCCAGGACTTGAGGTCAGACCCCAGCACTGTCATCATTTGGTTCACAACTGCCTGAAATTCCAACTTGTGGGGATCTGATGTCCCCTTCTGCCCTGCGCAGGAACCTGCACTCACAGAAACATATCCTCCACATGCAAAATTTAATAAATCATTGAAAAATTTAGAAAAATTAATCTTAGTACTGGAGAGAGATGGGTCATTGTTTAAAAGCACTTGTAACACAAACTCTAATAGACCTTAATAATAAGAGCCCTGAGTCAGATATAGGGATAAAAGCTGAAGGATCAGAAAAATGAAGGAGCAAGCTACAGCCACACCTTATCTTGCCAAATTCCTGGCTGAAAAGAGCTAATTCCTGTTTCCTCCTGCCTATAATCCTTTCTCCACTCAGTCATCTTACTTCCTGTCTCCGCCCAGCCATCTGACTTCCTATCTGTTATCTAGCAGCAAGCTGCACCCTCTGATCTTCGACATCCTTTATTTGTACAAATAAGAAAATACAATATATCCCCTTTTGTCTAAACATAAAAAGTTATAACTAATATAAGAAAAACTATATACAATAAGTACAATAACTACATACAATTATACAGGCAATAAGTACCAACATTGTCTAGTCCATTTGCATTTGACAAATTCAGAGAAAACACTCCATTATCTATCCTATTTTTGTGAGTCCAAAGTCTTGTACCTACTTTACTGTCCATTCAAATTTGCATTATCAAATTATCTTTTAGTGTCTCTCAACATTTTACACTTCACACACCTTTAGTGAGTTTCTTTTCTGAGTCTGTTAAACAGTGAAAATTATAGCAATTATACTATCAATTCTTCAACCCCATCAGAGACCTGAGAGGGAGTTAATATTAACTGAGTAAACAGGAAGTGCAGGCAAGTGACTTCCAAAAACTGTGAGAAATGACAAAAACACATGGGGCTGCTTAGACAGTCACATAAATTTCTTCTACAATGTGTGTGGCATCCATCTGCAGCCTATAGACCTTGCTTCTCTAATGGACCTTTCTGTGAAGCAGGATATTCTGAAGGACTGTCCTGCCTTGTCTTAGAAAGGATTACAGTCAGTCTCTTCTGTGTCCAATTTGGCTGTCAGCAGTCAAGGCAAGGGCACTTTATTGGCCAGTGGCTACTTTTGTCACAAAGAAAGTAAACTCCATGTGGAGTTTTTTCAATGCTTATCATTTTCTCTAAAGTAGATTCGTGCTGCCAGAAGCAGACATGTCTCATTGTCATAAAAAGTACCTATGCTATTAAAACATTTAAAATGACATATTCTGTAGATCTCTGAAGTGTTTGAAGATGATCTGTCTATCTGAAATATATCTCTGTTTGACCTTGAGGACATTACCTGATATGACTACAAGTTTGATTATAACAGTTGCATAATTACTAACCTACATTTCCTTATTATCTTATATAGTTGGTAATAATAACTTTCAAGGACTAGAAATTTGCATTACATTGATAAATGAGCTGTATCGGTACAATACCTTCAACAATATTAGAAATATATGTACATATATTAACCAATTAATTTCAAATTTATACCATTATACAATATTTGTATGCAATAGGCAAAAGTCCCATCCAATGTAAAATATTTAAAACTAGTAGTTGCTTTTTAAGAGTAGATTCAATAATCTGTCTTTTTATCTTATATCTTTTATCTTCTCTTTTTCTTTTCAGAGTAGATTCAATAATCTACCCTTGTAGGCTATCATATCTGTATACCCCCCTTTTTTGACCATTACCAAGAACAACTTGTAACCAATCTTTTTAAACAAGGACAAATATCCATAATGCAATGAAAAACCAAACCCCCCTACCTTTTGGGAATGTGAGAGTTATTTTCTTAAAGTTTCTTCCTGCTGTATGTGGCAAAGCATCTTTAGGGAATCCTGAAAAATAAAATTTGGGTTAAATATCAAGTCCTGGGAAAGGTAGCTGTATCACTTTTGTCCTGTCTCTGCATGATAAAAAAAAAGTGCAGTGCTTGTCTAAAATCTTGGCTAGAGTAGTCTGTGAGGCTGTATTATCTCATCTAGACAAGTCAAATTTGCTCTGAGCCATGTCTGTGAGGCTGGGCCATCTCAGCTGGCCTCCTCAAAATTGTTCTGAGAAGTTTGTAGCCCAAAGTCGATCTTTAGTTGGTATTGTGCAGCTTAATGATGCTGTCATTGTCCTGGAGAGATTGTTGTTGTGGGGCCCCATCCTCCTTTTGGATACTTCAAAGGTCACAGTTAGGCATGGTCAGTGGCTCACTGAAGAAAACTGGTAGAGACTCAAACCTGAAATCATGTACAGGAAGGTAGAGGAAACCTTTTTCAAGAATCAGTTAGTACTCTATATGGCCATTGATATCATGACAAAAACTTTGAAATACATATATATTAATCTTTTAAATATGTATGTAAATATAATATTTATGTTTTAAGAAAAGCTGTTAAAAATCTATATAAACCAAATGATTTAGAGACTAGTGGCAATACAACAGTCCATAAATATTTTTCTTCTGTCTCACAAAAGGTGGATCTCCTGACATGAGAGAGAGATTTAGGATTTTACTTTATGAAGCATGCTTGGATTTAGAGAAGGAAAGAGCCACATTCCAACTCCAAAGCCATCTTTAATCTTTAATTGGGCTAGAACTACAGAAAGGCCATTTGCATTTTATGTCTCTAGAGAAAAGCAGAAACAATTATTTGGGAAGATCTATGAAATTTTATCCTGTTGGAAATATGATGCACCAATAGACGAATTTACTCATTTTCTTGGGACAATTTTTCTGACTTATTTGTTCTTTTTCTTCAGATGTCTCATTTGTCCAGTGGTCACTGGATTCCTTAGCTGGATCTTTGTTCTCCTGAAAAGACAAAAATAAAACCCTTCCCCAACCCTAATTTTGGGGAGGTTCTCTTTTGGCAAGTTATATCTGATCAAGTGAAAAAGCATTTGTAATTTTTATAGGTTAGTTTGGATTAAACGGTCATGCTGCTTGATGAACTATCATCTCTTCCAATTAAGATGTGCCTTGTTGAAATAGAATCTTTATCAATTTGATGGTATCCATAGATTTTCTTCACATGTGGAAACAAAAGCAAAACCTCTTTCCCAATGTAACATATGTCCTGGTTTCTGTTTGAAGGTCAACACATCTTTGAAGTATACCAGTTGATTTAATTCTGTAGATTTTTCTATTATCCAATGTCTCTCCAAAGCTCTTGTTACTTTCTCATTAACGTTCAGAAAATTCAAGGTTAATAAAACACAATACAATCTATTTCTGGGGTTCTTTATTATCCATTTCTGTTTATTTACCATACCCTTTAGAGTTTATTTTATCTTTATATAACTGCCTGCCCTGGAGGATTATGTGGTATACCAGTAAAATGCTTTATATTATAATGAGCAAAAACCGTTTCATTTCTTAGAAACAAATGCTGGAGCATTGTCTGACTTTATTTGTTTAGGTATACCCATGATGGCCATAACTTGTAGCAAATGTGTAATTACTGAATCTGCCTTTTCCAAACCCAAAGTATTTGCCCATTGAAAACCTGAATAGGTATCAATGGTGTGGTGTACATATTTTGATTTTCCAAATTCTACAACAAGGAACACATTCATCTGCCAGATTTCATTCCTTTGAGTACCTTTTGGGTTACTTCTTGAAGGTAGTAGAGTTTGGGTGTTTAAAGAACAAGTAGGAAATCTGCTTGTTGCCATGTGATGGAAAAGTCTTTTCTCAAACCTTTGTTTTTGACATGGTGCTCCTTATGAAATTATGGGGCCTTTAGCACATTTCCTTTCAATAGTTGATCAATTTTATATTTATCATGTGCTAGAGTACCTGGAAGACCCATATGGGATCATATATGAGATATATATGATATGATGTATATATATAGATATAGATATATAGATATATAGATATATGGGATAATTCCTGTTCCTGATCATGACTTGTAACTGAATAAATAATAGTCAATTCTGTATCATCTGTATGATGTATGCCTGTAGGATGCAACCATTCAGTGGTTACAGTATGCAAAATAACTCTTTCTGTATATTGTAAATCAATAACTATGTTGTGAAGTTCTTTATGATCCATTAACACCATGAGAATAGCATATAATTCTGACTTTTGGACAGAATTATAAGGACTTTGATCCACTTAACTTAAAAATTTCTGATTTAAAACCTGCCTTTCCAGATTTATTTGAATCAGTATAGAATTTAGGGGCTCCAGTTATTGGTATTTGTCATACAATGCTAGAAGGATCCAGTTAGTTCTTTTTATAAGTTGAATTCTCTTGCCTTTTGGATATTTGTTGCTACTGTATCCAAAAAATTACTATAAGCTCTTTGACAGAGGACACTTTTGTCAATTTCATTTTTATTAAAAGGTACTATAATTTCTGCTGGATCTATTTCTGCTAATTGATGAAGTCTTGATTTTCCTTTTAGAATCAACTCAGAGGTCTTTTCCACATAAGTTTTTAAATTTTTACTCAGTTTGTGTGGCAAAAAGATCCATTCTATGACATCTTCCCTCTTCATTAATATTTCTGAAGGGAATGCTTAGGGGGTAATATGACCATAATGCAGTTAAGCTTTGGATCCTCATGGACCACAAGTACAATCTGTAATTACTCTTCCACCAAAGCCAATTCTTTCTCAGCTTCAGCTGTTAATTCCATGGAACTATTTAAATCCTTATTACCATCTAAGGTTTTATTTAAATTGATCAGTTGATCAGGTTATATCCCAATAATGTACTGTAGATTAAAATGTCTCTTAGATGCATACAGACACAGCAGACATACAAACTAACAGACAGATAACAGCCAGCCAGTCAGCCATCATACACACACACACACACACACACACACACACACACACACACGAAAAAAGAATGTCTCTTAGCCATCTTTGAAAGTCATTAAGAATCTGCAATCAATCTCACCTAATTTGCACGTTTTGGGGTCTAACTCTGTGTAAACCTATTTTATAGCCTAAATGGTTAATAGAATATCCTCTTTGTATTTTTTCAGGAGCAATATGCAATCCCCAACAAGGCAAATTTTTCTTTGCTTCTTGAAACATTCTTTCTAAAGTATCTACATTTGAGTCAACTAGTAAAATATTGCCCATTAATTGGTAATTTATAGATTGAATAAATTGCTTACATATCATTTCCAACAGCTGCTGTACAAAATATTGGCACAGGTTGAAGCTATTTAACATTCCCTGTAAGAGAACCATACATTGATATCTTTTGGCAGGCTGAGAATTATTATAACTAGGCATTGTGAATGCAAATTTTTCTCCTTTTTCTTGTAATGGTATCCTAAAGAAATTATCTTTTAAATCAATAACTATGAGAGGCCATCCTTCAGGCACTAGAGAAGTCAAAAGAATTCCAGACTGTAGAGAGTCCATTGGTTGCATCACCTTATTAGCAGCTCTTAAATCTGTTGCCATTCTCCATTTTTCAGATTTATTTTTAATAACAAATACTGGAGAATCCCAAGGGATGGTTGATTCCTCTATATGCTGAACATTAAATTGCTCTTGTAACAACTCTTCTAAAGCCTGCAGTTTCTCAGTTGTTAAAGGCCATTGTGCAAGGCTGTAGGTGTCTTTGGAAGATTAGCAGATGCTATGTCCTGTTCTTGCACAAAGTGAGTGGTTTGTGATTTTTCTTTATAATACCTTCTTTTAAATTTTCTAGAATTGTGTTTTAATTTAGTTTGTGTTTCTAAGATTGGGGGAATGTTTATCTAAGTATCCCATTGCTGTAACAGATCACGTCTGCACAAATTCATTGCAATATTAGCAACACATAGCTTTAACATTCTTCTCTGTCCTTCTGGCACTATACATTGGAGCCATCTCTAGCTCTGTTTTACCTAAGATAAAGTTCCAATCCCTTATTGTTAAATATTTACTTCCTGAAGAGACCAATTTGGATACCAAGATTCTTGTGATATAATTTTTACATCCACACCTGTGTCTACCAGACCTTCAATGATAACATCATTTATTTGTAGTTTTAATTTTGGTCTCTGTCCAATATTAGAAGTTTGCCAATATACTTGTTTTGTGATATTTTTCTGACTTTTTGTTATCTCTTTTATAGCTCTTCTATCATCTAGAGCAGTATGATTTCTTACAATAGGTATTGACCTCTTTAATTGCTCTGGGAAAGTGTTTCCACTGTGATAGCAAAGAACTGAATTATTTTGGGGCCTGAAAGAGAGCCCTCAGGCAGTCTCTGTTGATGGAAGTTTTTATTCCATCTGGGCCCCTAGCCATTTAGTACCAAATAAACACACAGGTTGATATTAATTATAAACTGTTTGGTCTATTGCTCATGCTTCTTATTGGCTAGCTCTCTGTTAGTTATTAACCCATTTCTATTAATGTTTGTATCTGCATGTGATCATATTTTGCCAGAGAATGTCTGAGCCTCCTACATCCCTAATGGCTACATGATGTCTCCTCTGTGACTCTCTTCTGAGTTCCCCTTCCCAGAATTCTCCTAGTCTGGTAGCCCTGCCTATACTTCCTGCCTGTCTATTGGCCAAAACAGCTTTATTCATCAACTAATAAGGGAAACATATATTAACAGCATAAAGAAGGACACCCCCCATCAAGTTTCCCAATGGCAACGAATTGCCTTAATGATCTCTATTGACCTACATTCTTTTGTTCAATGCCTACCTTCGTCACAACTTCTGAATAATCCAGAAAGGAGGGGTGTTCTGTTTGGATTATATTTATAAAAATATATGTTTCTAGAAATGCCCTGTTTACAATCCCTTTTAAAGTGAACTTGTCTGCCACAATAAAAACATTTGACATTTCAGGTTTTTTTTTTCAAGTCTTTTGAAATCACCTTTCTTATGCACACATCATCATCATAGTCATGATCTTCATTATTAATTGTATCTTATATCTGATGGGAGAAGTCCTTCAGTGTGTTTGTCTTATTGGTTGATAAATAAAGAACTGGTGGCCAAGAAGGAAGCAAGATACGTGGGGCTAGGAGTTGAAGAAGATTCTGGGAAATGTAGTAAAGAGGAGAGTCGCCATGTGATCCCGGGAAGAGAGAACACATGCTGCTGACATCCTCAATAAGATAAGTCCTTATAAAAATATATAGATTAGTAGTTGTGGTTGATAATTAAGACAGAGCGAGCAAATAAGAAATCCTAGTCATTGGCTGGCAGGATTGTAACTAATATTAATCTCTGTGTGTTATTTGGGGGTCCTAATGCTCTGGCAGAACTCAGGCAGCTGGTGGAAAGAGTTATCATTTCATATTTCCAATACTCCTAAGCTGCTGACCTTACCTTTAAAGGTTGAATTATCCTTCTGCATTGATAATTAGCATTTTCAATGTCAGAATTACAATTATTTGTCTAACTTCTGATTCTGGTATCATTTTCTTTCCTATTGATGACAGTCTTTGTAAGAAATCAGTGAAGACTTGGGCCCTGAATAAGTTTTGCAAATTTTACTTCCTGCTTCTCCAATTCTTTCCCAAGCATTCAAAGTGGCTGCATGGCATAAACCCAAGAGGTGATCATCATACAGACATTGCCTTTCTAATGTAGCATAATCTCTTCCAAGAATTTGATCTTGGTAAATATCTATATATCCTGCTTTATCCCTTCGTTCAATGTTCCTAGCCTCCTCTCTTAACCAGGAAGTCCATCTGAAATATGATTCAGGCACTGAAACAGCTTTTTTAAAGATCTTATTTATTTGTTATGTATACAGTCTTCTGCCTGCATGCCAGCAAAGGTCAAGGTCTCATTTAAGGTGGTTGTGAGCCACCATGTGGTTGCCAGGAATTGAATTCAGGACCTCTGGAAGAACAGTCAGTGCTCTTAACTGCTGAGCCATTTCTTCAGCCCACTAAAACAGCTTTAATCAAGTCTATCCAGTCTATAGGGATATCCCTACTACAAATTGGCCGCATGTTAATCATCTGCTTCACAAATGGTAAATGCATGCCATATGAGACCACTGCTTCCTTGAATTTCCCTAAATCTAATATTGTCACAGGCTTCCAAGCAGCTCTTATAGAACCATTTTCATTTGGTGATTCCTGTAAAGTTACTGAATTTATTAAGGTTGGTTCTCTTAAGACCTTAGAGTTTTCCTTTTTAATATGAAAATGCAATGTTGAACTTGTTTCCTCATTTAATTTCTCAGTCTGGGTTTGAATATCTTTATAATCTGATTTCATAAGTTTTTCTAAGGCGTGCATCTTGGCACTCATATCAACCAACATTTTTAGAGATAAACCAAGAATTATCAAACTGATAATTTATAGTATGTCAATCCTGGTTGATTTGATTATCTCTTTAATTGTTCCATTTTTAAATCATGCACAGACCAGGTTGTCCTCAAACTCAGAGATCTCTGCCTGTTTCTGCCTCCAGAATCCTGGGATTAAAGCCTGTGTCACTATGCTCAGTTTCTCCATCAACTTTGGAACCCATTTTGATCAAACTGTTGATGAAGGTCTCCAGGACATAGTATATTTTTAACCTTGATTTGAGTTTTTTGTTTTGTTTTTTGAGCTACTGTTTTATGTGTCCCAGTCTAACATCAAATTCACTATGTAGCCAAGGCTGTTCATGAACTTGAGATCCTACTACCTCCATCTCCTGAGGGCTTGAATAAGACATTTGCCACCACACACAGTTTAAATGTTTCTCGTCTTTAGTTGACAAATATTTATGTGTCACAGTATGGGTCTTTGATTTAAACTACTCTGACCCCCATACTCTCTAGTGAGAGAGTATGTGGGGATATTTGATAAGATTGAGACTGAATGTGGGTACCATTCAGTGTGTGGAGTGCAGAGACAACTTTCTGGGGTTGGTGTCTCCTTCCAGCAGGGATCTGACAATCTAAGTCAGCTAGTCAGGCTATCACTATTAATCCACTGAGCCATCTTACCAGACCAAAACTAACAAATAATATCAATGGATAAAATTAAGACCAGAGATACTCACTCTATTACTCTCTGCTTTCATATATATTTATTTTATGTGTATTTTCCCATAATAAAAGTTGAAATAAACAAGATCACTGTACCTAATATATAAATAATTTATATTAATGTTTATATGCATGTCTAAATGAATCCTATCCTGTCACAATCTTGAAATTCAGACATGTATTTTCAATATCCTGAAATTTTTCAATGCTCTATTGGTTTGCCAATCAAACTGTGCTTACAAATGAAGTTTACATCCTGCCTCTCCACAGCATAGTCAATCTGCCTGCCTAAACAAACATACACACATGCCTTCTATTCCTCCCCAGTGACTCTCTGTCTCTGTAAATGTCAATACTATTTAATAAGTTTCTTTAACTGATAGCTTGGAGAAATCTGCTGTCTGTGGAGATGGTACAGTAGGTAAAGACAGATGCTGCCAAGCCTGATGACCTGAGTTTGGTCCCTGAGAACCACATGGAAAAAAGACACAACTGACTCCCTGAACTTATCCTCTACTTTCACAAGCACACCAAGGCACATGTGTGACCTCACACAATACATAAATACATTTAATGGAAATACTATAAGGGGCTTGAGAGTTGACGTATTAGTTGAGCATTAATGCTCTTCCAGAGGACCCAAGTTAGGATTCCAACACCCACAACAGTTGCTTCACAGATGCCTGTACTTGGTGTCCCACAGCTCTCGGTAATTCCTGTTCCAGAGAATCAGACATTCTTAAGAGAATGCAGACACAACACTCATACACATAAAATAATAAAAACAAATGTTTTACAAACCAGAAGTTACCTTCCTGTCATTCTAGCAGAAACTGAGCATGTCTTTCAGGGGAGGTATTAGGCATCTCTGAACCATTGCAGTACTGAAAAAATCAATGTTGACTGTTAGTTCTGAAGGTCTTATTAGAATGTATCAACAGTCACTTTATATATTGAGCTATTTAATCCATCATGGGTTCCCAAACCAGAGTTACATGATCTTCCTACCCTATGGAAGGATACAAAAACAAATCTTTCATAGACTATAAATCACAAGAGGCTGGGGTGATGGTTTAGTCAGTGAAGTGCTTGTCATGCAAGTGTGAAAAACTGAGTCTTTATTACATGTTACCCTTTAGAAATAAATATGGAGATGGAGAGAGAAACAAAGGAAGAATAAGAGAGAGAGAGAGAGAGAGAGAGAGAGCAAAATATCCAGGCATAGCAGTAATATGGTAATAACAGCAGTGAGGAAGCAGAGACAGAAGGGTCTCTGGGGCTTGCCAATTAACCTGTCTAGCTTAATATTGAGCTACCATTTAATGGAGAGACATTTCTCTTCATTTTTACCATCACCATCACCATCACCATCATCATCATCATGATGTGGTCCATAACAAACCTCACATACTAAATAAATATGGTTAAAAATTTAAAGTATCTACATGGTGTAGGGGCATGACTTTAATCCCAGAATTTTGGAGGCAGAAGCAGGCATATCTCTTTGAATTGAAGCCAGCCTCGTCTACAGAATGAGTTCCATGACACCAGGACTACACAGAGAAACCATGATGCAAAAAATCAAGACAACCCCTCCCCCACCCACAGCACCCCCAGAGACCAGGCAGCAGCACCTGCTCAGCCAACAACCTCTCCATTCATCCTCCTCCTGATGCCTCACCAGCAACCACCAGATCTCTTCCTGAACCTAAAGGGATGCATGAGTATCTGAGTTCCAGCCTGGAAAGCCCTGCTCTCCAGGCACTAGCCTTCACCTCTTCCCTACCCAAGGCACCCCCAGCAACCAGGCAGCAGCACCTACTCTGTTTACCATCCTCTGCCACCACTCCAGCAACCACCAGAGCTGAAGGCCCAATTTGCACCCATAGGAAGAGACCCAGCTACACCTGAAGGAAGAGTGACCAGCAGAGCTACAGGCCCCAGCTGTACTTATTGGAGGAAGAGATGGGTAGATGGCAGTGTAAGAATGTATTGAACAATACAAAGAACAATATTGCACCACCAGAAACAAGTGGTCCTACATCAGCAAGACATGAATAGCCCAACACAGATGAAGATGAAGGAAATGTTAAAATAATTTTATGAAGATGATAGAGTCCATTAAAGAAGAAATGAAAAATTCCCTTAAATAAATGGAGGAAAAGAGAAATAACAAATTAGAAGAAATCAATAAATCCCTTAAAGAAAGCCAAGAAAACCAAGAAAAAAAAAACAACCAAACAAGTCCAAGACTTGAAAAACTGAAATAAATTCCATAAACAAAACATGAATCAATGGAATTCTGGAAATGGAAAAGATGAGTAAACAAACAGGAACTGCAGATGCGATCATAACCAACAGAATACAAGAGATGGAAGACCAAGTCTTAGGCATTGAAGATACAATAGAGGAAATAGATTCATTGGTCAAAGAAAATGTTACATTTAACAAATTCTTAACACAAAATATTCTGAAAATCTGGGATACCATAAAAAGATCAAACCTAAGAATAATAGGGATAGAAGGAAAAGAAGTCCAGCTCAAAGGCACAGAAAATATGTGCAGCAAAATCATAGAAAATAACTTTCCCAACCTAAAAACGGATTTGCCTATAAATGTACAAGAAGCTTACAGAACACCAAATAGACTTACCAAAAACAGGTTCCTTTGCCATATAATAATCAAAACACTAAACATACAGAATAAAGAAAGACTATTAAGAGGTGCAAAGGAAAAGGCCAAGTAAAATATAAAGGCAGAACTATCAGAATGACACCTGACTTCTCAAAGGAAACTCTGAAAGCCAGAAGGCCCTGGACAGACATTCTGCAGACAGTAAGAGACTATGGATGCCATCCCAGACTATTATACCCAGCAAAGCTTTCAATCACCATAGATGGAGAAAACTCGATATACCATGACAAAACCAGATTTAAAAATAACTATCTACAAATCCAGTCCTACTAGATATTACTAGAAGGAAAACTCCAACCCAAAGAAGTTAGCTGAACCCACAAAAGCATAGGCAACACATAACCTCAAACCAGCAAACCCCAAAGAAGAAACACACAAGCACTACCACCAACACTATCAAAACCAAGTATAATAGGAATTAACAATCACTGGTCATTAATATCTCTTATTATCAATGGTCTCAATTCACTTATAAAAAGACACAAGCTAAGCCAGGCGTTGGAGGTGCATGCCTTTAATCCTAGCACTTGGGAGGCAGAGGCAGGCTGATCTCTGTGAGTTCGAGGCCAGCCTGGTCTCCAGAATGAGTGCCAGGATAGGCTCCAAAGCCACACAGAGAAACCCTGTCTCAAACCCTCCCAAAAAAAACACAAGCTATCAGAATTGAGAAGAAAACAAGATCCATACTTCTGCATACAAGAAACACATCTCAACTTCAAAGACAGATAATACCTCAGAGTAAATAGGTGGGAAAGTGTTTTCCAATGGAAGAAACCTAAGAAACAAGCAGGTGTAGCTATCCTAATATCCAACAAAAAAGGCTTCAAACTAAAATTATTCAACAGAGATGAAAAAAGTCATTTCATATACATCACAGGAAAAAATCCATCAAGGTAAAGCCTCAATTCTAAACATTTATGTCCCAAATACAAGGGCACCCACATTTGTAAAAGAACCATTACTAAAGCTTGAATCATACATCAAACTCAACATACTAATAGTGGGAGACTTAAACACCCCACTCTCGACAATGGACAGGTCTTCCAGACAGAAACTTAACTGAGAAGTAAGGGAACTAACAGATGTCATGATACAAATGAACTTAATAGACATATATAGAACATTCCACCCAAACACAAAAATTATACCTCCTTCTCAGCATCTCATAGAACCTTCTCTAAAACTGACCACAATCCAGGTAACAGAGCAAACCTCAATAGATACAGAAAATTGGAATAATCCCCTGTATTTTACTGGATCACCATGGCTTAATGTTAAAATTCAACACTACTAATTGCAGAAAGCCAACAAACTCATGGAAATTGATCAGTGCTCAACTGAATCATCACTGGGTCAAGGAAGAAATAAAGAAAGAAATTAAAGACTTCTTAAAATTCTATGAAGATGAAAGCACAACACACTAAAGAATTGGAACAGCATGAAAGCCATGCTAAGAGGAAAGTTGATAGCACTAAGTTCCTACATAAAGAACTTGGGGAAATCTCCCACTAGTGAGTTAACAGCACACCTGGAAGCTCTAGAAAAAAAATGAAGCAAACTTACCCAGGAGGAGTAGATAGCAGGAAATAATCAAATTGAAGGCTGAAATCAATAAAATAGAAACAAAGAAAACAATACAAAGAATCAATGAGACAAAGAGTTGGTTCTTCAAGAAAATGAAGAAGATAGATAAACCTTCATCCTCACTAACCGAAAGACACAGAGAGAGTATTCAAATTAACAAAATCAGAAATGAAAAGGTGGACATAACAACAGACATGAGAAAATACAGAGAATCATTAGGCCATACTACAAAAATTGTACTCCACAAAATTGGAAAATTTAAATGAAATGGACAATTTTCTGGAGAAAAATTAAAATTAAATCAAGACCAGGTAAATAATTTAAATAGACCTATAACCCCTAATGAAACAGAAGCAGTCATCAAAAGACTCCAATCAAAAAGTGCCCAGGGCCAGATAGTTTCAGAACAGAATTTCAAAGAAGAGCTAATACCAATTCTCTTCAAATTGTTCCACACAATAGAAACAGAAGTAACATTGTCAAACACTTTTTATGAGGCTAATGTTACCGTGATACTGAAACCACACAAAGACTCAGCTAAGAAAGAGAATTACAGACCAATCTCCACCATAAACATTGATGCAAAATGTACTCAATAAAATACTGGCAAACTGAATCCAATAACACATCAAAAAAAATCATCCACCATGATCAAGTAGGCTTCATCCCAGAGATGCAGGGATGGTGCAATATATGAAAATCTGTCAGTGTAATATACCTTATCAACAAACTGAAAGAAGAAGCCATATGATCATATCATTAGATGCTGAAAAACCTTCAACAACATCTAACACCCCTTCGTGATAAATGTCTTGGAGAGATTAGGGATACAAGGAACATACCTAAATACAATAAAAGCAATATATAGTAAGCCAACAGCCAACATCAAACTAAATGAAGAGAAACTCAAAGAAATTCAACAGAACAAGGAATGGCTTACCACTCTCTGCATATCTATTAAATATAGTCCTGGAAGTTCTAACTAGAGCAATAAGACAACAAAAGGAGATCAAGGGGATACAAATTGGAAAGAAATACATCAAGCTTTTGCTATTTGCAAATGATTTGATAGTATACATAAGTGATGCAAAAATTTTTACACATGTAGCAGGGCACAAGATTAAAAAAATCAGTAACCCTCCTATGTACAGATATTAAATGGGCTGAGAATGAAATCAGAGAATCATAACCCTTCACAATAACCACAAACAACATAAAATAACTGGGTGTGACTGTAACCAAACAAGTGAAAGACCTGTATGACAAGAACTTTAGGTCTTGGAAGAAAGAAATTGTAGAAGGTATCAGAAAATGGAAAGGAACATCCATGCTCATGTGTGGGAGTACATAAGTGACTCAGTTTCCATCTGGAGTCTACTCTGACTTGTAAGTAATTTGAGTTCATGCTTGCTTGTTTTGGTCCTTTTGAGAGCTGTGAGAAAGTTCTGATTAAGCCCATGGAAAAGCACACACTATCTTAAGATGCAAGCTGGTGAAGGCCAGCCAAAAAGACAGAGAGACAGAATGAAACTGCTTTCTCCTAGTGGAACTCACATGATAGATAGCAAGCCTGCCTGCGCTGATGCAAGGACAGGGCAGTAGGATGATTTACTGACTATGCTGCTCTTTGCTCTGCTTTGCCTCTAGTCTATATATAAGCAGGCTCCAAATTAAACTTGGAGCAGTCTGTTGTGCTAAAAGGCATGGACTGGACAGTCCTCCCAAATATATCCTGCATTTCTGTCTCTGTTTCTTTTATCTGCCATTTCTCAGTCCTAGCACCCCATTTCAGGGTGGAGCAGCTCATTGGAACAGGCTCCAACACTCATGGATAGGTAGGATCAACATAGTAAAAATGGCAATCTTACCAAAAGAAATCTACAGGTTCAATGCAATCCCCATCCATATTCCATCACAATTCTTCACAGACCCTGAAAAGGCAGTACTCAACTTCATATGGAAAAACAGAAAACCTAGGATAGCCAAAACAATCCTGTACAATACAGGGACTTCTGGAGGCATCACCATCCCTGACTTCAAGCTCTTCTACAGAGCTAAAGTAATGAAAACAGCTTGGTAATGGCACAAAAAAAGACAGGTGAAGCAATGGAATAGAATTGAAGACCCTGATACTGATCCACACGCCTATGAACACCTGATTTTTTTTTACCAAGAACCTAAACTTGTACAATGGAAAAAGAAAGCATCTTTAACAAATGGTGCTGCATAAGTGGATGTGGACATGTAGAAGAATGCAAATAGATTCATATCTATCCCCATGCACAAAACTCAGGTCCAAATGGATCAAAGACCTCAACATAAATCCATCTACACTGAACTTGAGAGAAAAGAAAGGGGCTGGAGAGATGGCTCAGGGGTTAAGAGCACTGAATGTTCTTCCAGAGGTCTTGAGTTAAATTCCCAGCAACAACATGGCGGTTCACAACCATCTGTAATGGGATCTGGTGCCCCTTTCTGGCCTGCACTGTATACATGATAAATAAATAAATATTTTTTAAATAAGAAAAGAAAAGAAAGTGGGAAATAGCTTTGAATGTGTTGGCACAGGAGTCCCCTTCATACACACAACACCAGTAGCACAGACACTGAGAGGAAAAATTAATAAATGGACCTCCTGAAATTGAGAAACTTCTGTAAGGCAAGGGACATGGTCAACAACACAAAATGGAAGGCTTACAAAATAGGAAAAGATCTTCACCAACCTCCATCTGACAGAGAGATGTTCTCAATAATTTACAAAGAAGTCAAGAAACTAGACATCAAAATCAAAATAGCAAATAATCCAATTAAAAATGGGATACAGATCTAAACAGAGAATTCTCAACAGAGGAATCTCAAATGGCTGAAAGACACTTAAGGAATTGTTCAACATCCTTAGCCACCAAGGAAATGCAACTCAAAATGACTCTGAGAAATTATCTTACACCAGTCACAATGGCTAAGATCAAAAACATTGGTAACAGATTATGCTGGAAATGATGAAAAGTAAGGGGAACAAGCTTCCATTGCTGATAGGAGTGCACACGTGTACAGCCACTTTGCAAATCAGTATGACATTTTCTCAGAAAATTGAGAATCAGCCTACCTCAAGACCCAGCAATACCACTCTTGGGCATATACCCAAATAACTTCACACTCATACCAGAAGGACATTGCTCAACTATGTTCATAGCAGAAATAGATACCCCTCAACCAAAGAATGGAAAAAATATGGTACATTTACACAATGGAGTAATACTCGGTAGAAAAAGAAAAGAAAAGAAAAAAAAACAAAAAACAAACAAACAAAAAAACAATGACACCTTCAAATTTGCGGGTAAATGGATGGAGCTAGAAAAAAAAACATATTGATAATGTGGGAAATTACCAATATGGAGTCAGGTAGAAGTACAAGGGTATTTAATAGGGAAAAGCCTTACTTACAGAGCAACCTAGCCAGCTGGTGCAGCAGCAGTCTGTACAGCAAGCCGAAAAGGAAACCGAAAGTGCCCAGTCACCTGACTACCTCTCACTCTACCTCACCCTGACCACGCCCCCGCAGGCATGGTCAGACACATCTGTAGCCAGCCCCTAAGTAGGAGTGGCTACAGCTTCCCCTACAATTCCCCTTTTAGTCTAAAAGAGGATGAAGACTTAACAGTGTAAAGTATCCAAAATTAACAATCATAAAGGTGAAATATAAGAAGACACAACAATCTGCTTATGTCACATCCTATCTATCTATTTTAACTAAACCCTAAAGTCATCTGAAAGAGGTGTCCAAGCC